GATAAATACACAGGCATGAGAAAAAAGAGAGAGGGCTCTAGAGAGAGAGAGAGAGAGAGAGAGAGAGAGAGAGAGATTAAATAAGTACCATGATAGAGAAATATATTAGGTACAATATGTGAACAGATAAGTATTTGCTCATTGTCATACGTTGTATCATGGAAGAGTGATAGGAAAATGTAAATCTTAAAAAATGAGTAAGGGTTATTCAAGTGAACAGGAGTATATAAAGAACATGAACCAGTCAGACAAAGTAGTACAATTCTCATCCTAGAGTTGAAAGAGAATACGACAAGTTTAAGTTCAAACACTAATAATAAAACAAATAGATTTCCTTCATAGAAAACCTACTGTGTGTTAGGTATTGTTTTGAATATTTTGCATACATTATCTTATTTAACTGCCATACAACTTTGAGGTAGATGCAGATAAAAACCTGAGGTCTTGAGTGACCAGATAATTTGCCCAAGGTTGCAAATCTAATACATGCTTAACCCACGGTTCAATCTTAAATTGTTCCAAACCAGAATTTGCATTTTAAATATGCAATCCGTGGTCTCTACATTGAAAAAGTTGGAAACTGACTTGTGAGAAACACTCAACAGATCTGGATATTGTCTCAAATTAGATACTGCTTTTGGTAGCTGGTTGTCTCTAGCACCTGTAAGTATTTTATGAGTATGGAGAAACCTGAAGATGTGAAAATTGTAAGTTGAGGATTGAATGACAAAATAGAGTTCTATGAAGATAATTCATACAAGAATCATGAGTAATACATACTTAACAATATACTGTATATATGCTTATAAGTGGGTTTCCACGCTGCAACCTGAATGTAGGAAAAAATTTACCTTAGACAGATTTAAATAAAATAATTTTAGCTCCTTCATATGGGGTTATATGTCAGTTCCCTTGACTTTGATGCCTTAACTCAAAGTTACTGGATAATAACTGGGAATTTAATTCACTTCCTGTTCTTCATCTCTTACCAACCTCTTATTCAGAACTTAGAATTAAATCTTTTTTTCTTTTTTATTTCCCAAATTTTTATTTTTATTTTCTTTTTTATTTCTTATTTATTTCTCAATCTTATCTTTTCTTTTTTATTCTAACTCTTCATCAGAGAATTCAGGACATTTTCCCAAACCTCCATAATGGCAAAGGCTGGCAAAGGCTGCACATATCTCTGATTTTATGACTAGAACCTGGATCTCTTACTGCTGAAGATACTTCATGATGATGTATCATCATGTAAAAATCATAAAATGTTCTAAGATATTAATATTTGTGTTTTATTTTTCCTTAGCTTATTCAAGGATATTGAAGAGGATACAATTATTTGTATCAGGAGGATGAAAATATAGAAAAATTTTAAGACTAATTTGCAAATTAACTTAACTCATGCAAATTAATTAATACAAACTAATCATTGCCACAAGAGAGGCATTAACAATGTGTTCATTTGTCAGCATCTTTCTGGATCAGTTGTGAAGTTACTTAGCTAATCAGTGAAATCCTGGCCAATTGGAAGAGGTTATTTATTTTTATGAACTCTACTATTCTCCCAACATTTTATTGTAATTCTCCAGTAACCAAATTGACTTGATTTTAAATTTAATTAAATCTAGAGCACTGGGACTGATACTGTCTTCCCACCAACATTTCAACACAAGTGAATGTCTCTCCTCTGCTATTTTAGATCTGGCCTCCCATGCACCATGCATTATATCATAAAGTTTCCAAGGCCATCATGTTTCTACCATTTAAGGTCCATTCTGAGCATCTTAGCAACTGGCTATACATGGATACTAGCTTGTAATCCTTCTCAACTACTTCCTCTCCTTGTTTTGTGTTTTCTACTTCTAATTCTCATTCTCCATTTCTTGAAATACTGCATTATGACATTGAATGTGATAAACATTTTGCTTACATTATCTCTGAATCTTTGCAAAACCTTATAAAATTAATGGAATTACCATTCCACTGTACAGTTAAGAGAATTAAAGCTTCACAACTACAAAGGAGTCTCAGATCTCAATGGATTATTTCTGCTTGTGCTAAAATACTGCCTAAACTATTGTTCATTGTCATGTTTTAGCCATTGTCAATATTGTTCCTTTGTCAATTTTCAGTAACTTACCTCTCCAGCATGGTATCCCTCTGCTTGGATCACTCTTCTTACATTTCAAAAAGTATCCACTTAGATTAAACACTTTGTATTGCTTTCTTTAATAACTTTAAGGTTCTATCAATAACCAAACCAAACAACTGTGCAACTGATATATTCTCCTCTATGAACTTCTTCAAAGTCACGCACTCTGATCCTTTGTATCAGCCTTCCTTTTTTTTTTTTTTTTTGGTCCAGCAAAGGACAAATATACAATGTTCTGTCCATTTTAGGACACATTATAACTCAGTATCTGTTTGAATGATCAAAAGGTAAAGGAAAATTTGTAGTCATATTCATACACCACTAAGTGTCTTCATTGCATTATTTAAAGTTTTCTGCAATGCTCAACAAATGTAGAATTTAATGGTATAGACCCTACATATCTGGAGCACAGCTATATTCCCATGTGCCCTCATTGCTTTTGACCAAATCTATTCTGCTTGTACGTTAGCCTCAGTGCCTTCTATAGAAAGCATGATTAAATATAAAGAACAAATATGCTAGGCTCTTGTATTCCAGTATTTATATTCCACTTATCACACATAGTATAATAAGTGTGACTTTGAAAAACTCTCCCTTTTGATGTCTTTTCCCTCTTCTATAGAAAAAGGAGATAACCAGTGTCTCATACTGTTATCTGGAAGGTCAGATTTGCTATCTACGTGTGAAGTTAGGAGATGGGATTTGGCACCTGCTAGACATGCATATTTACTTCTTGTCTTCCCTTTCTTTCTCTCACTTTCCAAGGTCTAAATATAAGTGTCTTATCCCCAGTTTCAAAGCTCTTCATCAGAGAATTCAGGACATTTTCCCAAACCTCCATAATTGCCATGCCACAATTTCATCATTTGTACTATTTAAAGTGTGTTTCTACAAACCTCCATTCATTGACTTATTTGAGTTTATTCAACTAGCTTTTAAGCATGCCTAGAGAATTACTGTGTCTTTATTTTCTGTTTTCTTAGTGTCCAGCATTGTGTTCAGTATATCATAGCCACTCAGTGTTACATGGTTATTGATTGACACACTAGCACCATGTGCTTCAACATCTGCCCATATCTTAGTTCCTCATTTCCTCAGTTCCCTTTCATTATTAATAATAACTATGACATCTGGGGTGCCTGGGTATCACAGTCAGTTAAGCCTCTGACTCTTCATTTCAGTTAAGGTCATGATCAGGGACATGATCAAGCCCCATGTCAGGCTCTGGGCTCATTACGGAGTCTGCTTAAGACTATCTCTTCCTCTCCTGCTGCTCAACATCCTCCCCCATCACCTCACATGCATGCTTTCTTTTTTTCTCTTTCTAAAATAAATAAACCTTTAAAAATAATAATAATAATAATAATAATAATAATAAACTATAACATCAGCAACTATAAAAATTATAGGAGTACCTAAATTGGTAGACTAATTTTCAGTTCATAGAGCTACCTACTGGTACATTATTGCGCTAAATCCTAATTGTGGTCTTTTGAGGTTCATATAATTAATAAGCACAATATTTTATATCAGACTTTTTATTTTTTAAGATTGTGGTTGTTATTGATTCTGCTTATATTCTTTTTGTTGTTAAAGACTTTGGCAAATCATTTAAATTCTCTGAGGGGCAAAGTTCACATGTTATTAAGTAGGAAGCTAGTAAGAAAATCTAGACCTTCTAAGTTGGAATTCAGTTACATTTGTACCTCTTGAATTCCCAACTTTCTAGTCTCAATTAGAAGACTTTTGGGTATCAATTTACATCTTCATTGTTAGAGAGCCTGGATTGCCTCAGAGGATAAGTCTCTCAAGAATATCATAAAATCACATTATACATTTAATTGCACTATATTTTGAATACTTTCGATTCATAAAGACATGGCTGAATTTCTTTACTAATGTATTAACTAACTCAACAAAGAATTTTTTGTGATACTATTTCTTCATTTGCCATTTTATTCCAACTTTAAATGCCTACCATATTTTGAGACTATAACCTGGATCATTTTGTAGATTCTATTATTGATATCTCAAGAAATATGTACTATTATTCTCAATCATTCATCTTCCCCGGGCTTGCTTGCTTGCTTGATTGATTGATTTATAAAATTACTTGAGAGAGAGAGAGAGACAAAGAGAGAGCATTGGAGCAGGGGGAGAGGCAGAAGGAGAAGCAGATTCCCTGCTGTGCTCAGAGCCCAACATAGGGCTTGATCAGAGGACCTTGATGAAACCATGACCTTAGTCAAATGAACAAGGGTCAAATGCTCAGCCAACTGAGCAATCCAGGTCCCCCTCCTGGACCTAATTTATTATGACATCTTCATTTCTGAATTTTAGAAATACATTTTAAAATTATATTTTAAAAATAATTTAAATATCTGAAACAATCAAGGTCTAAAAAAGCCAGAGTATCGAGCTAAATCATATTAATTTTCAAAAAGAGTTGGAGGGCACCTGGGTGGTTCAGTCGGTTAAGCATCCAAATCTTGATTTCAGCTTAGAAGATGACCTAAGAGTCCTGGGATCAATCTCTTGTTAGCTCTGGCTTTGCACTCAATGGACAGTCTGCTTGTCCCTCTGCCCCTCCTCCTGCTCATGCTCCCTCCCTCTCTTTCTCTTTCTCTTTCTCAAATAAATAGATTACATCTTTAAAAGAAAATGAGTTGAGTACATTAGTATAACACTATTCTAAATGAGGAAACTGAGATTCAACACAATTAAAGAAACAGATTCTTTAATTGATTAATTTGATTATGTTAAGAAACTGCATTTTCTATTTAATAATCTGATGTTTGTATTTTTAGCTAGAAGCTCTATCTTACACATAAACAAGCATCTATTTTACCTGGTAGGATGAAAGTCACATAACACAGAAAATGGAGGAGATAGTAAAAGATCTTCATTCTGCAGAAAGAAGCTCCTGAAAGATTGGGTAACAAATCTAAAGACTAGCACACTTTCCAAAAAGCCCAGAGACGTTTACTATTTATAGTTTCCCAATAAAAGAAAGACTTTATCCGGAAATTGTTTTAATTTGGTGTACTTGTCTCTGCACCATTGACTAGGGCTGTGGGTGGAATTGCCCTAATTGAAAATACTTGAAATTATTGATCTTTAGAGAGGAAACTCTTTGTGGAAGATAGCTGCATACATGAGATTATTATATCTATGGTGATCAATTAACCATTGACACAATGGACATGCAAGGAGTAGGTTTAAGAGAAATATTGAACATTACCATGTTACTTTTCAAATTATACTCTAGTCACTAATTTGACATGCTAATGTCATCAATATGTCCATACATCCCGAATTCTTACTTATACCCATTTTTCCCATTGATTTCTCCAAATTATTCATTTACCAAAGGACAGATACTAAGCCTTACTTTTGTCATTAATTTTTACTATTCTTTTAAGATGCAACTTGAATATTTATGGAGATCTGCTTTTCCAAGAACAGCCCAATTAGTTTCCATTTATTTTATTTTTTTATCACAGTAATATAAGCACACAATAAATATTGAAAAGACCTTGCAATGAATAGAAATAATTTCCCATTGCAATCTCTCTATTTTTTAGATCTTTTGCTTATTATTAACATAGGGATTCAGTCTAGCTTAATATTTTGTCCTTGCTTGGCAACCACAAAATGTATCTTTTGGTTTCCACTAAGAAAAATGTGGATTCATATCATTTACACTCCTGTGCTGTCCTGCTCTTCAAATGTTTGAAAGTTATATTAATTCTCAAAAATTCTGTAGGTTATCTTTAAACATTTAAATACCTTTTCCCTCACCAAATTTAGTCACTACATTAAACTTTCTCTATTTAAAATGAAGGTATTAGAACCCTATCATTCCCTCCTACATTGTACATCTCATTCATCTGTTGTTATACATCTCCTTTTATCTTGCCTACGATAATATTTGCACTTAAGGACTTTTAAGTGGAAAACCTGTAATACAATAAGCAGTATGAATTATATTGCCTTTTTAATGTGTCTGATATACTAACCAAAGACAAGGGTTATTGGTTTCAAAGTCAAGCAAATTATTTCTATTATTTTACTACTACTATTACTACTACTACTACTACTACTACTACTATTTTCTTTTATTGTTATCTCTATTCTTTCCTACTTTTTTTTTTCCTCAAGTGTTTTTAAGCTTTTTAGCTTTAATTGTTTCATTTTTGGTTATTGTGTTTTTGAAAAATATTTTTTTTTCCTGTAGTTTTCCTATGGATGTGGACAAAAATATAAACAATAGTCATTCTTCATCCTCAAGTTTATCCTAGTATCATAGGCTATTTCTGTGTCTGCTTCCTTCTAAGAGTTTCTGAACCTGTTCAACTGCACTGAATCTACTGTGACTTGTAGCTCACATCTCCTCTTTTTTTTTTTTTCCATCTAGAGATGTTCTAAAAAAAGGACATACAGGTATTTCCATGCTGGAAAATATTTTTATTCAGTCCTCACATCTGATTGTGAAATCTGGTTCAAAATCATGTGAAGTCATTACTCTACTAAACTTTTTTTTTTTTAAGATTTTATTTATTTATTTGTGAGAGACACAGAGAGAGAGAGGCAGAGGGAGAAGCAGGTTCCATGCAGGGAGCCCAATTTGGGACTGGATCCCAAGTCTCCAGGAGCACACTCTGGACCAAAGGCGGCACTAAACCACTGAGCCACCAGAGCTGCCCTACTAACTTCTATCATTCAGTCTTCTTAATGAGAATCCAATGCTAGGATAGCCTCTTTTATTTTTTTTTAATTTTTTAATTGGAATTCAATTTGCCAACATATAGCATAACACCCAGTCCTCATCCCGCCAAGTGCCTCAATGCCCATCACCCAGTCACCCCAACCCCCTGCCCACCTCCCCTACCACTACCCCTTGTTCATTTCCCAGAGTTAGGTGTCTCTCATGTTTTGTCACCCTCACTGATATTTTCACTCATTTTCTCCCCTTTCCCTTTATTCCCTTTCACTAATTTTTATATTCCCCAAATGAATGAGACCATATAATGTTTGTCCTTTTCTGATTGACTTCACTCAGCATAATACCCTCCAGTTCCATCCACGTCGAAGCAAATGGTGGGTATTTGTTGTTTCTAATGGCTGAGTAATATTCCATCGTATACATAGACCACATCTTCTTTATCCATTCATCTTACGATGGACACCAAGGCTCCTTCCACAGTTTGGCTATTGTGGACATTGCTGCTAAAAACATCGGGGTGCAGGTGTCCCGGAGTTTCACTGCATCTGTATCTTTGGGGTAAATCCCCAGCAGTGCAATTGCTGGGTCATAGGGCAGGTCTATTTTTAACTCTTTGAGGAACCTCCACACAGTTTTCCAGAGTGGCTGCACCAGTTCACATTCCCACCAACAGTGCAAGAGGGTTCCCCTTTCTCCGCATCCTCTCCAACATTTGTGGTTTCCTGCCTTGTTAATTTTCCCCGTTCTCACTGGTGTGAGGTGGTATCTCCTTGTGGTTTTGATTTGTATTTCCCTGATGTAAGATAGCCTCTTTTATTTATTTTATTTTTATTTTTATTTTTTCATGTTTGGCAAATGCAATTTCTTTTTTTTAATAAAAATTTATTTTTTAGTGGTGTTCAATTTGCCAACATACAGAATAACACCCAGTGCTCATCCCATCAAGTACCCCCCTCAGTGCCCGTTACCCATTCACCCCGACCCCGCCCTCCTCCCCTTCCACCACCCCTAGTTCATTTCTCAGAGTTAGGAGTCTTCATGTTCTGTCTCCCTTTCTGATATTTCCCACTTATTTTTTCTCCTTTCCCCTTTATTCCTTTTCACTAATTTTTACATTCCCCAAATGAATGAGACCATATAATGTTTGTCCTTTTCCGGTTGACTTATTTCACTCAGCACAATACCCTCCAGTTCCATCCACGTTGAAGCAAATGGTGGGTATTTGTCGTTTCTAACGGCTGAGTAATAGCCCATTGTATACATAAACCACATCATCTTTATCCATTCATCTTTCGATGGACACCGAGGCTCCTTCCACAGTTTGGCTATTGTGGACATTGCTGCTTTTAAATGGCTTGATTTTTTTTTCTCTCTCTAGACACTATTAGGACATTCTCATTATAATTCATACCCCAAATCTTATGATTCACACATTTCCTGGTGTGAACTTCTCTTTTGTGTCTGGCACTGGTGAACTTCTATCTTTAAATCTGGGAAAGTGTTCTCTTTTTCTATTTCTTTCTCCGATAAAGTCTCTTCTTATGTGTATATTTATTTTCTCTCTTTTGGGGATTTCTTTTAGTCAACTGTTGAAATATCCTATAATTTTGTTTTTACTATCTTTATTATCTTTTTTTTAGATTTATTTATTTATTTATTTATTTATTTATGAGAGAGAGAGAGAGAGGCAGAGACACAGGAGGAGGGAGAAGCAGGCTCCATGCAGGGAGCCCGACGACGTGGGACTCGATCCTGGGACTCCAGGATCGCGCCCTGGGCCAAAGGCTAGCGCCAACCCGCTGAGCCACCCAGGGATCCCTATCTTCATTATCTTATATTTATATCTACTTACGTTGTTATTTTATGATTTAAATATCTTTCACTTTTCAGTTTTTCTAAATTTTTTAAGCAAATATATTTAAGATGTATGTGCCTTTTTCTGTTCTCTGATAGTTCTTTTGCCATAGAGCAGTATTTTTTTTACAGATGTAAGATTTTCTTGAATCCCTCTGCAAACATATGTAAGAAAGTTTTGTTTGTGTTAAATTTATTTTCCTTGAACTGTTTTCTCAGGATCTAGTATTCCATTTGGTGTTGTTATTTTAGTTATTCATGCTGTTGCCTTTACATATTGTTGTAAAAACATTGGTTCTAGGATGAAGAATTATATACCTCATGGGGATTTCCTTGACTGTTGCACAAATCTTTTTTTCTTTTTCCCATAAAACCTCTGTTTCTGAGAATTCTTATGGTAAAGTCTATGGATGTAGGTTAAATGGACTTCTTTAAAGTGAGCAGAAGGGATTAGAACTTCCAATGTCTTGAAAACAAAACAAAACAAACATTATTTTTTTCTGGAACACAAGTTCTTGTACGAGAAACTTAAGATCTCTCTATATGATTTGTTCTATTGAACTGTGGTTTTATTTAAACAAAACTAAAAGCTACATTAGAGAAGGATAGTATTTCTCTTGACAGTGAATCTCCAATATGTGGGAATGCTTTTATTAGAGTAGAAAATCCAACAATGAAGATATAATCCAAGCGAATATCTTTGACATCTTTGTGAAGAATCAGTTGACTACACAGACTGGCATCTGTTTCAAGACTTTTATGTTCTGATTCATTGATCAATCTTTCTCTCTTTTATGTCAATACCAAATTCTCTTACTTATTGAAACTTTATGGCAAAACCTGGAATCAAGTAGTGTCAACTTTACAACTTAGTTATGTAGGCCTTTCATAGATGCCTTTTTAGGTTGGGAATGTTTCCTTCTATTTCTGGTTGCCAAGACTTTTTATAATAAATGAGTATGACATTTATTTTAAATATTTATTTGTATTTATTGAAATAACCATGTTTTTGGTTTTTACTCTTGTAATATAGGGGATTATGTGAATTGATTTTTTAACACAAAACTAAATTTACACTTTATTTGATAATATTGTGTTAAGAATTTCTGTAGTTTCCTTGAAATTTCTTTTTTTTTTTTTTTTTTTGAGTTTTGGTATGGATAATGCTGGCCTTCTGACATTATTTGGGAAATATGTTCTATTTTATCCTTGTACAAAAGGTTCTGTGTATAATGAGTATGCTTTCATTATTAAATATTTAGAAGAATTCACAGTGAAGCCATCTATATCTGGTATTTTTTATTTGGGAAGATTTACAAATAGACA